CCAGTGCTAAAAATCAGCAGAAAGAGAAAGCACAGGAAGATATTTACTTTTTTTCTCTAAGCAGCCAAAGATAACCCTTTCTTTTGAATGGCCAGCCAGACCCGTACCAGCTCTTACGAGCCCAGCTTCCCCCTTTCAAGGCTGCCATAGCAGACCTGATGCTGATGAAACTCCACCATTTCCAGGCCAAGGAGCTATTCACTTTCTAGTAAAAAGGTCTACAAAAAATCCTTTAAACGCTGAAAGACTGGGAAAACATTTTAAAAGCCCCCAAATGAAACTCAGAAACTAAAGAACCACAGACCTCATCAAACGCTCCTCACCAGGGTGTTTGAAAATGCTGTTCCCTGTGTTTAACACCAGGGCAGTTTCCTAAACCACTTTGATTATGGGTGTTTTTTACACTTTAAATTACATTAAAATGTCTGCTTCTTCTATAGCTGGGGCTTTTCTCCAGCTTTTATGCAAAAATCCCTATTTAAATGAGTTTCTGTATTCTAAACAATAGAAATTTAACAGCATGATCTGAACAGAAAAATCTATTAAGCTCTGGTTCCTGAAAGCATGTTTCAGGGAATTCACTTGAATGACTATTTGCATGAAAGTTACTCATTACCAGCACAATGGGACTTCCAAGGATCCCTTACCCTAAAACCAGCCAGGAGCACACTGGGGAATGAATTAAGACTAACTTTTCACAGCACGTTTCAGCATCTTAATAAATAAAAAGACAACAAGGTTCACGTGAACAATGCGTATCAGCCAGGAGACAGGCCGAATTTAACATGTTTTCTGGAATTCTTCTGCAGAGGACGCAAAGCCTCGCCCCTCCAGCTCCAGAGCTACCTGCCTGCCTGTTTCTCCCTTTGGGAGAGCTGCCTGAAGGCAGGCAGTGAGGGCTTGCAGCTCCACAGATGCCTGGTGGGGGTCAGGAGGAGAAGCCTCCCCTGAGCAGGACGCCTCTGCCTCCTCCCGGTCCCAGCCCCACTGTCAGTCAGCTGCAGAGCTGGGGACAATCAACAGGGACTTGGACACCCACAGCCCAGGAGAAATAATAATGAGCTTAAATGAATTCAAACTCCCAAAGATAAGAGCGGTGTAAGTTAGCACACAAAGGGGAGCACGGCAATGCGGTAGATGCTTTAGCTTCAAAACCACGAACTCGCACGCTCCGTTTTCAATAGCTTCACATTGCCATTTCTAGCGCTTTGTAAATACAGGAAAGGAGAGCATTGGCACTTAATAATTTACACAGGACCTCAAAACTGAAAGTAGGGCAGCCTTCATTTCCCCAGTGCTGAGGGATACGGGATGGCTGGCAGGAGTAAGAAGACACTATGTGGGAGCAGAGGCCAAACTTTCCCGTGATGCAAAAGGGGCTCCTGCAAGACAGCTTGCCACAAACAGGCTGCTTGAGGCCTTCCACAAGGAAAATTGTCCTTCTCCCCCTTCCCCTTCTTTCCTGCTTATTTTGTAGTCGTGGGGAAGGCTGCAAGAGTGAGACGGTAGTTCAAGCCACAGCTTAAAAAGAAATGATCAGTCCCACTAGTGTTTTCAGATCCTTCCAAAACTAAGGCCAGAAAACGTGCATGAAGAGTTGCTCTAAAAATCAAGAGCTAGCAAAAGCACAAGCCACACAGTAGCTTGGTTTCTCAGAGACAGAGCAACAGATGAGCAAGGCTGGTGTTTCCAGCTCACTTCCAGACGCCATTCTGGTATCTCGCTGCCTTCACTGCCAAAGGAAGCTCAGGGAGGGGAACCACCTGCCCAGGACTGCCTGAATTATTTACCAGGGACATCAGCTGGCATAATTTCCCACTTCAGCCCCTTCAGACAATCCTAAGATCACAGTCACACCTTGAAAGCGCCCTGCCCCAGGCCCAGCTGCACTGCAGGACACAAGGCGATGCAATGCAGTGGAGCCAGAGCACTTCAGGATCTGCCCTGGCTGTTTTGTTGCCCCTGATCCACACTGCCTGGATACAGTTATATGTTGTGTCGGCTCCCATCCCTCTGCTATCCAGCATTTGGAAGCTAAATTTAAGGCTCTATGGAGCTCAAATATTTGAGGTCAATTTTACCTCCTCTAAAATCACAGGTAAAACTCACCAAAGACATATATGCCCCAGAGCCACTTGTACTGCAGTGGGAAAGTCCCACCCCACCTTCAGCTTTTGGTCACTCGCTGAGGGGCTGCATGTCCCCAGGAGAAACAGTGCCGCAGAGCCAGGCTACATCAAAGCTGGACCTCTGGATGGTTTCCAGCGCAGGACCGACCTCCAGCCACGTGCTGCCATCCTCATCCCGAAGAGCAGCAGCAACAGGCGGAGGCGCTTACAGCTGGATGGGGCAGAAGGCTGGATGAGTCTGTCAGCCCGATGAGACTCCATGCCAAAGCCACCAAGCTCCCGAGGCTTGGGCAGCTTCGGACGTTCACATTTCAGCCGAGGCAAGCCGATACAGACTTGTAGGAGGGTGCTAACAGGCCACTGGTCTCCATTTGTTTTACAGCAAAAACTTGTGCCTCTGTTTAATACTTAGTGCAGCAACTTGCACCGCTCAAAACGGAAGCCCATGGTATTTATTATCATGGGCAGAAACAGGCAGCTTGCTGCTACCCAGCACCTCTGCTGCTCCGGGTGGGTACACAAAGCAGTCTGACTACATGGTGTGAAGTAGAAGCACCTATCTAGCTACATCCACGCTACTGGAAAAGAGGTTTGGTTGAACCGTAGTGGGTTCTCGGCACGGGCTCATTTCGGGAATCCCAGTGCCGCTGCTCAGGTAATTTATTGTAGTTTCCTCACTAGAAAGATCTTCAAGAATGTCATCCCATCCTCTACCAATGAGAGCCAAATTTACATCTTCAGCATAGATACATGAGGATTTAACTAGTTTTCCACACAGTATGTTGGAAAGGGTAGCTAAGATGCACAACTGCATCTGAGGCTTTAAATTAAGAGCTCTTTCTTAAACAAAAGCTTTGTACCTGTACATGAGGAGCTGCACAGCTTTGGTACCTACAGAACACGCACTGCAGGCACACCTATCACATATGTAACACATACTGGGGGGGGCATATTTCTTTGACAAGAAAGTGGGGGAGTCAAAAAGAGAAACAATTTGCCTTTCTGCTTTCTCAGCAAGAACAGAAAGTGAGGGCCAAATTCTCTAATCCCTTGCTCAGATAAGTTGTTATTATCCATGGGAGCAAATCTGTTTATACCAACATACTCATCTGAGTACAGGTTGCAGAGTTGGGCTCTAAATCCCTGTATAACAAAGCCCTCATAACAATCTCGAGTTTGTTCCCAGAGCTCTAAATAAGCACCATTATGAAATGGCTTTGTGCTGGGTAAACACCATGGAAAGGAGTGGGCAGGCTCGGGGCTGAGCTGTGGGGACAGCAGGAAAACTCAGGTAAGTGTCTGGAAAAAAGCGGTCCGTACACAAAGTGAGCTTTGCAAGCAAGAATGAGGATGGATTTCCCCAATGTCCACACTTTCAGCATCCTGACTTTTCCCTTCCAAGTATGATCCGCTATTCAGACTCTGACACAGCAAACCGGCCCCTGCGTATCACGCTGACATGCAAGCCCAGGTCCCAAGTCATCGCGGCAGCTTAGCCTAGCTTGTTCCAGTTTTTTTTCTGTTTGAAACAGGATGTCAGCCTCCAGCTGCCAGCCAGCTTTGTGCTCGGAAAGTTGGTGCTTTTACAGCCAGACCTGATACCAGAGTTCAGGGAATTAACTGGAAGGTCTCAGTGCGCCCTTTTCCACAGACCTCTTTCTTTTCTTTTCTGAAAGAATTAATAAAAAGAGGGAGAGTGTCTAAAAACTGGTATTAATAGGCTGGTGTCCTTCAGGGAATCTGGTGAAATGCACTTGTCAGGAAACTGTAGACCGACGGGATGTCCCTGGCAGGCAGGGAAGCCAGCCTCTGGCTTTTTAATTGTGCATGGCACGATCTGAGTTCATAGGCACGACAGCAAATTGTGCTTTCACTGAAGAATCTTCCAAAATGAGCCAAGAGGAATCTCCAGACAGCAGAAGAAGGCACGTAAAAGTAAACTGATCAGTTTAGATAACATGCCACATTCTTGGTCAAGTAGACATGGTCTGATGCAGCTGGAACTCACAAGCATACAAACTCTGGGAATACAGCAAAAATCTCTCATATCCTTTTACAGGAACATTGCTGACTGGTGGAAAACATGCACAAGAAATCAACTGAGGGTGGGGAGAGGGAGATTGTGTAGTAAGTCTTCTGTCCTAGCTTTCTGATGTCGTCCATGGTGACTAGTAGCGGTGCTGGTACCCAGCCGCCGGGGTTGTGCTGCTTTCTATGTGTTTCAGATGACAGGAGTGACAAAGCAAATGTTCATCTAGTGGGTAACAGCGATGCCCATCTTCATCATTCAGCTCCATCCCACAATCCTGCAAAGAGAGACCGTTCAAATTATTGGAACATGTGTTTATCTTCCAGTGTCAACTTGGGTCTGGCTTCCAGGAAGGTGATTTTGTGACGAGGACAGAAGACACCCAGCCAAAAGCTCCTTCCTAGTAAGTCCAACATGTGCCATTACAAGGAAAGCATCTGACATAGGCATTCTGCGGGGCAGCCTTGTACAAATTTGTCTAGAGCAGTTTTATTCAATAAGCTGTATCTTGTGGCATGGTGCAACCCTATGTATTTTAAATGTGCTCGTGTCTCCTTACACTCTCAGGTAGGATTCACCTCTTCACATTACATTAATTACAGTTGTACTGATGTAAAACCAGCCTGCTGAGGCAGGGCCTCTTTTCACTGCATTATGAGCACAGTGAGAGAAGATGTCTATTTATTTTAATTCACAGAAGTATGAAGGCTCTTTGGGAAGCTTGGCACGGAGACCAAATGGTGTTTAAAGAGCTGGAATCTCTTGTAATGTTTTTGTGCAGCCATATCCTTTCTCCAGCCCCAGTGACACATTAATTTCCCATGAGAGTGAAAGTAACTTACACTGCACAGGATCAGTCATCACCTTAGCATTTTTGAACAATCTGACTTGGAAATCAGATAAACTAATGTGATCTGGAGCTCAAGGCTTCTGAAAGGCAGCAACAGAGCCTTACTACCACGTTTCCTTCATTAACAAATAAACTGCCAAGTTTAAAAGTGATAATTAACTCTCTGCCCATAACTTTATGGGTAGCAAATGAAATTGCAACCGAGACATATTGCTGCAAAAACTTCTGTCCTCAAACTAGAAATTTCTCAGGCACTGACAGAAAGGGTCACATGATGCTTGAATTGCTCATCTGCTGCCATTGGAAGGGAGAAGATTTATCTCCATCTTAAAAATAATAGTAGTTATCACAATATTAAGTGCCCACTCCCTGAGAAAGCTGCTGACCTACCTCACAGTGATAACATTCCACATGGTAATCCTTGTCCATGGACACAACCCGAATGGTCTCATCAGACCCCTGTAAGCATTCAAGCAAAAGAGAAATTAGAAGGATTACAGCAGGATCAGACACATGCACTCTGTAGATTGCTTCCTGCAACCACGTGAATGTTGCATGAATGAGGAAGTGCATTTGGGCTGCTGGTTGGACACCACAAATAAGTTCTGCCACCTGCAGTTATTTTTACAGTAAAGCTTCATCATTGACTGACTGCAGATACCCTCTACAATGTAACATCAGAAATGTAAAATTATCTCTGTTTAACAGTCACATCTATCTCAAATCATGCATTAATGATGTGGTAATTTCAATATATCACATTTGTCAGCATTTTAAATCAGTTTTGCCCAAGATTCATCTCCTCCAAGTATTAAAAGAAGTTAGTCCCAGAGGGGTCACACAGAGGTCATTCATGAGTGCCGTCAGCAGGTATTGACATGAAGGAAAGGTATCCTGAACATAAAACTAGCAGCGGTATAATCCTTCAGGAGATAGAAAAAGCAGCCTGGTCCAATAAGAATAAGCTTCATTATTGAGCAAAAGAAAGGTCACATCTCAAGAACAGCATATGAGCTTAGGTCAAAAGGTTGCACTCCGGAGGAAGCGATCATCTCTCCCTATCCGCATGGTCATTTGTCTGTACACAGGGTCAAGTGTGAAAGAGAGCAAGACCTGAGACACGACACGCCCTTCCTGAGGGGATATGGAATAAAAGGCTCTCACCTCAGAGGGCAGAATGGGAAGTCCACAGGCTGCACACTTTGGAGCTAAAACTCTGCAAGAGCAATGAGAAATTGAAGGCAAATTATAGGTCAATATAAAAAGAGAGGCCTGTGTGTTCACGGCGATAAAATGAAAAGCTGCAGCTGTAAATAACTTATCCACAGGAAAGCTTTGCACCCCAAGAACATAAATTCATTTTAGCATTGATTGTAAGTAATGCTTAGCATATGTTGATCAATCGAGCAAAACTTATACACTTAGTGCCAGGAAAAAAAAAAGCAAAACCCACTATAAAATTCTTGGCTGCCACTGACATATTTGGAAGACAGAATGAGGAGAAAGTTAGCAAGATCATCCCCAGAAAAACACATCAAAAGAAGTGGCAGCCTAAGGGCAGGAAACCTCAGAGAAAATACCGTGGGACTGTACGGTTCCTTAATGCCTTATAACACAATGTAACACGATAAATAAACAATTACATTAAATTGCAAGGAAATAGGCATCATTTCAGAGCAACGGTGGCACATGGAGGCAACTCTAATCTTGGCACAACACAGAACAGTTCCAGGGGCTGCCTGAGCAAAAAATTAATACTCTGCCTGCTTAGAAAACGGAGCAAGAAGCAAAGCAAGCCAGGACCCTCAAAATGTATGCAGCTCTAATATCGTAACTGCCAGCTAAGAGCACAGCCATTTTATTTTACTGTCTAAATGACAAGTGATTTTTTAAGTGGATTTATCAGTTTAATTTACAGCTGGATAAAAGTTTCGCCTTGCAGGTTCAGTGGTGATTCTTTAAAAGTCGAACTCAGCCCTTCAACGACTCAAGAAGTAATTCACATTGATTTCCACAGGCATTCACAGCCTTACTTTAGAGCGGACTGATTTCTTACATCACTGAACACTTCATGAGCACTATTTCTCACTATCTCTGCTTTGCAGAAGGGGCAGCTGAAGCCCAGGGGTTAAGTGACTTATTCAGAGTTACGCAGGAGTCAATGGCAGGACAAGAGGAGAGACATCAGGAATTTCTAAGGTCTAGCCCCATCCTCAAACTTCTAGCTTCTAACCCTGTTCCTATTTTACTAATGTGCACTTCCTAACTAGCTGAAAAGCTAAATTAGAGGCTTGTTGATTGGAGCATCTCTGCTGTTTATTTTGTCCTTACTTGTGGTAATCTCTGACACAGTAGATTTTGTTTTCAGAGTCTACAGTGAATGGCACACCATCCAGACACTCATTGCAGACCACGCATCGGAAGCAGCCTGGGTGGTACGATTTCCCTAGAGCCTGCAGGATCTGTAACAAACCAAGAGACAGAAAAAATGCTTGTGAACAGCCAAAGGTGAAAATAATAAACACACAGATTTACATCAGGCAATTCTGTGTATTCATCAGCGGGGCTGTGTCTTTTTTCAGGTACCTCATCTGAAAAATGAGTTAACAGGGATGGAAGGGGCAGCTGGAATCAGTATATATCACCTGGTTCCAGATAAATTAATTATTAGCATGGGTACGAAAACAATTTAGAGTGTCAGTCAAAGTATTTAGCATTACAAAGGATAGAAGTGACAGAATTTAAAGGAAACTAATTTCTGAAGACAACAGGTAGAGTATTTAGCAGGATCACAGGGCAAGACATACCAGGCCAACAAAGGAAATACATCTTTATATTTTCCATGAGAGGCTGAAACAAATACTATTGCTAGGTTTTCCTAATTCCTTAGATATCCAAGAGCTTTGTACTTGCTAGCCTGGACACAGACAGTGGGATCGAGTGCACCCTCAGCAAGTTTGTAGATGACACCAAGCTGAATGGTGCGGTTGACACTGCTGAGGGATGGGATGCCATCCAGAGGGACCTCAACAAACTCAAGGAATGGGCCCATGTGAGGTTCAACAAGGCCAAGTGCAGGGGCCGGCACCTTGGTCAGGGCAACCCCTAGTATCAGTACAGGC